ACAATCCAAAGTTGTTGATCCCCCATTATGGCAAGGCAGCATGCCCCATCTAAAAATCTAGAATACTCCTTTCTCTTTTTTTTTTTTTTTTTTTTGAGACGGAGTCTCTCTCTGTCGCCCAGGCTGGAGTGCAGTGGCGCCATCTCGGCTCACTGCAGCCTCTGCCTCCTGGGTTCAAGCAATAGAATACTCCTTTCAGTAAGTCTCCTTAACTGGCTTCCCTTTCCCTTTTTGAGGGTGTGAAGAGGACCTGATTCCTGGGGCAGGCTCAGGCAGTTTTGCTGATAGAGGAGTAGACAAGCAAATGTGTGGTACCACTGGCCCCTGCAGGTTCTGGTTGTCTTTTAGTTTTACTGGGGCTTTCATACCTCAGAGTCTGGTGGCTTCTCTTCTCTACCCTCTTCTTAAGAGTCACTGGTGTCTTAAAGCCCCAGAGGATCAACTGTGTGTATCAGCCTCATGAGAACTGACCTTCTCCTGACCTCGTTCTCTTATTTAAAAGTTCTCTAATTAAACTTTGTATTTTGATATAATTAGAGACTCACCTGCCTGCATCTTAAAAATAACTCTCCCAGCTACTATCATCTCACATGATCTGTGAGCCCATCTTGTGAAGCCTAGTATTAAAAAATATTTTTGTTTTTCAGTGGCGTGCATTTTAATTCTCAGGCCATAGCTCCTACCATTGAACAGATTGACCAGTCTTTTGGCGCAACCCATCCTGGAGGTAAGCCAAGTCCATCTGATTCCTCTGGTCATCAGTGGCAGTTCATAGCAATAAACCTGCCCAGTAGTGCCATCCCACCCCACTTGCTGGAGTCAGGCTCCCATAGGATTGTGGGGTTGGTACTTGGGTGTGAAGGAAAGATCCTCCCCCTTGTTTTCAACTCAGTAGGTCAGTTCAGAAACAAGCCACAAGGAAGGTGTTGTCAGTCATCACTCCCTGCCAGGCTGGTTTATGTTAGCCATTTCAGATGCCAGTCAACCATGTTATTTTCTTCTCCCCCACCCCCAACAGTGTACAACTCCGCTGAGCAGCTCTTCCATCTCAACTTCAGAGGACTGTCTTTCTCTTTTCAGTTAGACTCATGGACCGAGGCTCCAAAGTATGAGGTTAGCCCTTCCTGTCCCCTGGTGTTTGTTGCCCAGTGTCTGTGTGGTATGGCTCAGCAGACGGTGTCATGGGATGGGGATAGAGGAGTGGGTATTAGATAGGCAGACTTTGGTTTCCATGTATTTGAGCTCTTTACGGGACAAGGAAGGGGCAGAGTGGGTGGGACTGACAGAGGAAGAACAATGCTCAGGCTGGCATTCCCAGGAAGAGGATATTTGCCACCATGGAGTGAGGTCAGGCTCACTTTTCAGAGATAAGTTCATTCATTCCTTATTTTCAAACTCCTAATCAGCAGTTTTCCTGGTTACCTAGAATCTGGAGATTTCATCCTCTGAATTTTCAATTACCTTTATTTTTGCAGACATTTCATTCATTCCTAGGGCTGTGAAAATGATAAGCTTTCATAATGCTTATTTTAATTAAGGAAGCATTTCTGCATTTTCCCCTATGAAGAAAAGGAAAACTGACCAGGTGTGGTGGCTCACGCTTGTAATCTCAGCACTTTGGGAGGCCAAGGCGGGAGGATCACTTGAGGTCAGGAGTTGGAGACCAGCTTGGCCAACATGGTGAAACCCTGTCTCTACCAAAAATATTAAAAA